CTACACAGCAAACCGTAGTTGGCTGCTACTTGTGCTGGGCTTGGAGGTGTCCAGGAGAAGCCAAGCTATGAGCCAATGCAGGCTGCTGCTGGTGCCAGGCCTGGAGCCACTTATCAAGCCATATGGGGTCCGCTGCTGCTTGTTTGAGAGATTTTAGAAAAGTACTAAGCATGAGGCTCGAAGGGCCACTTGAATAGAAAAGCCCCTGGAAATGGCCTGGATGAGCTGCAGGTGGGGAGGGGCGGGGCCTCCGGGAATCACGGGGCGGGGCCAANGGGCGGGGCCTCCGGGAATCACAGGGCGGGGCCAAAGGTGTGAGTCAGGTGCTGGGGATTCAAACATGGCGCCTGTCTGCCGGCTGTGTGCGGGGAGGGCTCGCCAAAGGAGCAATGGCCTCTGCCAGCTCTTCTGTCTGGGAGAAAGCTTCCCCTCCACCTCTCACCCCAATTTCAGGCAGGTAAGTCCCTCCCCAGATGTCCCAGGTTCCTGTCGAGCTGCTGCCCGCGCCGGGGCTCAGGGGGAGCGCTGCTGAGTGAGTCCGTGCCCCAGCCCTTTAAAAGGAGCTTCTGGGGCTCCTGCAGCCTCTGCGACCCTCAGAGACAGTCCGGCTGGTTTCACAGCCCAGAGTTGTGGGGATGTCTCTTCCCGGCCATGGAGCCCTGGGATGGGGACCTGCTGTGGGGCTGGGACCCCTCACTCCTTTGGGAAACCGCCACCACCCAGAAACCCCTCCTGGGTTTACTCCACGGCACCGGGTGTGGGCCCCCAGCCATGTCTCTGTGATTCAGCCCCGATCCGCCCTCGTCTCCGCCCCTCCTCCCAGTCTCAATGCTTCTTCAGTTCCCTGGTTGTGGGGCTTCTGTTCAGCTGGATCTCAGGAGGCTCTGAGTGACGGTGGTTCTGTATCTTAGTTGTAATTTTGATGTGGCCTATTCAGGTTTTCTGATTCTTCCTGATTCAGTTTTACATGATCTTACTCATATGTGGAATCTAATAAATAAAATAGACTGAAGAACAAAATAGATCCAGAGACATAGATGCATGGAACAGACTGGGGGATCTCAGTGGGAAGGGGGGGCTGAGGGAGTGGGTGGAGAGAGATTAATCAAAGAACTTATATGCATATACGCTTAACCCATAGACACAGACAATAGTGTGGTGAAGGTCTGGGGGGACG